GGTTCCTGCCTTTTTTTCAAACCACTCAGCAGAACTTGATTGGTTCCCGCCTTTAGGTCAGACCACAACCGGGCACGCCCTGGCTGGTTTTGGGAACGGCGCGGGGGAGGTCTTTTCTTTGCAGTTGTGAGTACACCTGGTAATTTTTCTCTTAGTCTCTCATTCCCCCCTTTCTTTGATGCCTTAAGAGCCAATCTTGGATCTTATGTGTCTGACTCAAATGTTTCGGTAATGATAGGTTGGTATTGGGTCCTAAGGACCATCAGTTGGATCGTGTTAACTCGGTCTTTGATAAAGGCAACTAGTTTATTAATAATATAAGGCCCGAAGGTGAGGAAGAGAAGGAGGAGTATAAGGGGCCCAGCTAGAGCAGAAAGCAGGGTGGCTAGCCATGGGGACTGACTGAACCAAGACTCAAACCAGCCTTGTTGTTGTTCTCGTTCACGCTTCCATTTGGCCAGGCCTTCTCTAACTTTAGCCATGGACTCTCGGACTACTCCGGTATGGTCAGCATAAAAACAACATTCTTCTCTTAAGGCTGCACACAAACTTCCCTGTTGGAGAAAGACTAGATCTAGCCCCCTTCGGTTCTGTAGGACCACTTCAGAAAGGGAGGTCAGAGATTTTTCGAGGTGCGAGATTGAGTCCTCAAGTCTGGCTATATCCTCATCAATGGCTGCCCTTAGGCTATTGAACCCCCGGTGCTGGATGGCTAGTGATGAGATCCCTGTTCCTGCCCCTATGGTACCGAGGCCAAATAAGGTGGCCAAGGTTATGGCCGTAAAGGGTTCCCGTTTTGTTCTTATTGACTCTCTTGCTTCTGTCCCTTCTGTCCACAGATCATATACAACATTTTCTCGGTGGTAAATAACCTTCGGAAATACTAATACCATGATACAATATTCGGTTGACGAATTAAAAACATTTCTGCTAACACATGGGGTGAGCCCTGTCTTAGAACAAATCCACGAACTGTCAGGAGCTGGAATTATCCATTTAGATTCATCTATAGAGTAATTAGTCAGGGCACAGAGCTGGATATGGCTAGAGGGGACCTTTCCTATACAAGTCCCATTGCCAGTGACCGCTTGCAGTGTGAGGCTGGGGCCCTTTCGATTCCACTTGCAAGCTGCTGGCGACTCTTCTCCTGATTGTGAAAAAGGGGCAGCTAGACCTATGGCTTCGTAGAAGGGGGGTTTTATATCATAACATAGACAGCAGGCCCTTGTTGCCTCAGGGTCCGATCGGTTTAAGGCCTCATACGCTGCTGTTAGCAATTTCCATAGGGAGTCTATGCCTTCTGGTTCTGATTTTCTCGGACAGCTTGTGCTTTTACTCCTGGGGTAAGGATGGGGGTCCTGCTGGAGGGAGTAGTGGAGATCTGCCCGGGGATAAGCTTATCTGTTTTTTTTTTTTTTTTCAATACCTGATTTGGCCCCACTGGTTGTACAAGAGGGGAGACTTTTAATTTTATTTGAATGGCAGTCCCAAAGAGGGGACGTTGATATAAGTAGAGTCCCCAAGTGAGTCCTGAGACCCACCGCCTGTCCTTTTTCCCCTTCTCTGTAAATCTTACACAAATAAGGTTACAGTTTTCATTGTACCTGGTGCAGGTACATGGTTGGACATAGGACATTTCAATAAATTGGGGTTTTACTTCCCACTTCCATTCCCCATCATTGGGGACAAAACTCCAGGCTGCACAATAGAGGGTTTCAAACCCTCCACATGTGCGCCTCATCGCCCCCGTCCTAAATCCCGGACATGCATAAAATCCATTTCTACTTATTGATACCCTCCTTTGCAGTTGCCTCCATTTACCTCCTTCCATTTCTTCTAATGGACTAACTTTTTCTAAATTAAAATATAAATCTGGCCACCAGGTGTTTAATGGGGCAGTTCCTAGGGTTTTGTTGTAGATTTCATGAGTCTCTAAGTTAGTAATTTCCCATGTCAAATTATAGGGGGTGTGGGGGTTTGGATTTACAGACAGAATTTGCAGAACAATCAAGAGGAGGGCAAGTACCATAGTTACGGCTCAGTCCGTTGGCGGCGTAGGGTCAATTTTAAAGGATTGTCCTTAGTCCAGTCAACAGTCCAGGTTGTCTTTGAGGGTCCAATGAGGTCTGAGAACGGGTCCACCGGTTTGGTGTGGGTGTAATGGATCCAGGCGATTCCGTCTACTTTGATGGCCGTAGGCGTTGTCAGGATGACCTGGAGGGGTCCTTTCCACCTGGGTTCCAGAGTCTCCTGCCAATGACGTTTGACGAGGACCCAATCCCTGGGTCGGAATTGATGAGGAATAGGCGGAGGTCCAGTTTCATAAAGTTCTTTTAATTTGGGCCATACATCTTCATGGACCCTCTGCAAGGCTTGTAGGGAGAGCAAGAGTTCAAGACCATTATCGTTCTCAGTTTTGACAAGGTCATCTTTTAGGTTAGGGATGATGGGGGGGTGGTCTGCCATGCATTATTTCATAGGGTGTGAGTCCCAGTTTGTATGGGGAGTTATGCACCCTGAACAGAGCGTAAGGGAGAAGGACTACCCAATTAGCACCAGTCTCCATGGTCAATTTGGTTAGGGTGTCTTTTAATGTTCTGTTCATTCTCTCTACCTGTCCTGAACTTTGGGGTCGGTATGCACAATATAATTTCCAATCAGCCCCAAGTATGGAAGCCAGTCCCTGACTTACCTTAAAGATGAATGCAGGTCCATTGTCTGACCCTATCATTACTGGAAAACCATACCTGGGCAGGATTTCTTCTAGGATCTTTTTGGCTACAATCTGCACCATTTCATTCTTGGTTGGAAAGGCTTCAGTCCATCCTGAAAAGGTATCTACAAAAACTAGCAAATACTTATGTCCATATTTTCCTGGTTTTACCTCAGTGAAATCTACTTCCCAATAGGTCCCCGGTCTGCTCCCTCTTCGTCTTACCCCTGTTGTCTGAGGATTGCTACTCGCATTGTTGAGTTGGCACACTGTACATTTAGTGACTACTTGATCGACCTTATCAGAGACATTTCTGATTTTTAGTCCAGTCTGTCTCAGTAAGTCCAACATTTGCCGGGAACCTAAGTGGGTGCTGCAATGGATCTGCTCTAGAACTTGCCATCCTAGTTTATCTGGGAGTATAATGCTGCTTTTGGAATCTCTCCACCAGCCATCTTTGATTCGGGTCATAGGAAGTTTACTCATCCATTGAATGTCGCTTTCTGAATACTCAGGGCTGGGGGGCAATTCCCGGGGTCCAGGGTCTGGCAGCTGTAGGGTCAATAATTGCGCTGGGGGCCGAGCTATGTTTTTTGCAGTCTGATCGGCCAAATTGTTGCCCCGGGAAACTGGGTCGGTTGTCTTCTGGTGTCCTGGGCAATGCACAATCGCTAGCTTTTTGGGTTCCCATAAGGCTGCTAGCAGGGCTAGAATCTCTTCTTTATTTTTGATGTCTTTCCCTTCAGCTGTGAGGAGCCCCCGTTCTCTGTATATCGCCCCATGTACGTGAGCAGTGGCAAAGGCATATCGGCTATCAGTGTACACGGTTAGCTTGTGGTCTCTTCCTAAATTTAGGGCCTGGGTTAAGGCTATTAGTTCAGCCTTCTGGGCCGAGGTCCCGGGGGGTAGGGCTTCTGCCCAAACCACCTCGGTTTCTGAAGTTACGGCCGCCCCTGCATACCTTTGTCCCTGGTGAACGAAGCTGCTTCCATTGGTGAACCAGATGGCATCCGCATCCGATAATGGTTGGTCCTGCAAGTCCTCCCGGACCCCATAAACTTGAGCCAGTATGTCGGCACAGTCATGAAGTGGGGTTCCCATGTCCGGGTCTGGCAGCAGTGATACTGGGTTCAGGGCCGTTGAGGGGGTGAAGATGACCCTGAGGGGGTTCAACAGCAGTCCCTGGTAATGAGTGAGTCGGGCATTGCTCAGCCATTGGTCAGGCGGCTGCTTGAGGATGCCGTCGATGGCATGCGGGGTGGTGACTTGTAGCTCTTGGCCCATGGTCAGCTTATCAGCGTCCTTTACCATTAGGGCAGTGGCTGCAATCATCCGGAGACAGGGTGGCCATCCGGCGGCCACTGGATCTAGCTTTTAGACAGATAGGCTACTGGCCTGTGCCAAGGGCCCAAATGCTGGGTTAGCACCACCTTAGCTATGCCTCGGTTTTCATCTACATATAGGTGGAAGGGTTTGGAGACATCGGGGAGTCCCAGGGCAGGTGCTGATAGCAGAGCAGTTTTAATTTGTTGGAAGGCCTGTTCGGCTTCTTCCGTCCAACTAAAGGGCTGTTGATCTTTTGTTGCCTGGTATAAAGGCTTTGCTAATTCAGCAAACCCTGGCATCCATAGTCTGCAGAACCCAGCTGACCCTAGGAATTCTCTCACCTCTCGTGGTGTCTGCGGTCTGGGAATATGAAGGACAGTCTCCTTCCGGGCATCCGTTAGCCAGCGTTGCCCCCCTCTCAGTAAGTAACCCAGGTAAGTTACCTCTGACTTGCAGATCTGAGCCTTCTTTGCTGAGGCGCGGTATCCTAAGGTTCCCAGAGTTCGCAGGAGACCTTCGGTTCCCTGGATGCAGGCTTCGGGTGTCTTGGCAGCTATTAAGAGATCATCAACATATTGTAGGAGAGTTATATTAGGGTGTTGTTGTCTGTACTCACTTCAATCTTCGTGTAGAGCCTCGTCGAACAGGGTCGGAGAGTTTTTGAATCCTTGTGGCAGTCTGGTCCAAGTGAGTTGGCCATTTATGCCCCTGTCTGGATCTGTCCTCTTGAATGCAAATAGCTCTTGACTTTTAGGCGCTAGTGGTAGGCTGAAAAAAGCATCTTTTAGATCCAGAACAGTATACCATCTGGGCTGAGGGCGCTCAAGAGAGTATAGGGGTTAGGAACGGTTGGATTTATGTCCATCACCTGCTTATTGACTTCTCTCAGGTCCTGCACTGGCCTGTATTCCCCGCTGTTGGGTTTGTGCATGGGCAGCAGGGGGGTATTCCATGCTGAGTGGCAGGTGTGTAGGACCCCAAAGTCAAGGAGGCGGCGGATATGCGGTGTGATGCCATTTTTGGCTTCCGTGGGCATCGGGTATTGGCGCACGTGGATGGGGTCCGTCCTGGGCTTGACCTCTATAAATAGGGCTGGGCGATGTTTTGCCAGCCCCATACCACCCGTTTCTGCCCACGCGTCTGGGAAGCGTTGAAGCCAGGGCTCGATACCCTGATCCAGAGGAGTGGGTTTCTGATGGAGCCTGTATTCATCTTCCAGTCTCACAGTGAGTACAGATAAGGGTTGGTTGTGAAAGTCAGTCACTGTGGGTCCCCCTGGTTGGAAATGAATTTGGGCCCCCATTTTGGTAAGCAAATCCCTCCCCAACAAGGGGCAGGGGCTGTCAGGAATGACCAGGAAGGAGTGGGTTACCTTCCCATTTCCTAAGTCCACAGTCCTCTGAGTTGTCCAGGGGTACTTCTTTATTCCGGTGGCCCCTTGTACCCAGGATGATTTTTCAGATACTTTTCCATGGGGCTTGACCAGAACTGAGTGCTGTGCCCCAGTATCAACTAGGAACTGGATTGGGGTCCCCTCCACTTGCAATGTTACCCTAGGTTTGGGGAGGGGATCCGAACCCCGTCCTCCCTATTCTGTATCTTGGGTAAACAGTATGGGGGCTATTTTAGGCTGCCATTGTCCTTGGCTGGGGCGGGGTTGTTTCTTCTTGGGGCATTCTCGTATCCAATGGCCTTTTTCTTTACAACAGGCTCATTGATCTTTATCTAAGTGCCGCCTGGGAGGGCGTGTTGTTTGAGTGCCTTCTGGGGGTGGCTGTTCTTTCTGGACTATAACGGCCAGGACTTTAGTCATTTTCTCTGTGGCCTTGATCTGTCTCTCTTCTGGGGCGTCCCTGTTGTTGTAGACCCGTTGTGCTATACGGAGCAGATCCTGGATCTGTTTACCTTCTAAATCCTCTAGCCTTTGGAGTTTTTTTTTAATGTCAGGAGCTGCTTAATTTACAAAGGACATAATGACAGCAGCCTGGTTCTCAGGGACTTCTGGATCCATGGGGGTAAACTGCCTAAAGGCTTCCATTAATCTCTCTAAGTAAGCAGCTGGACTCTCTGCCTTTCCCTGTACGACCGAATATTCCTTAGCCAAATTGGTGGGCTTGCGAGCTGCAGCCCGGAGACCCGCCATCAGAGTCTGGCGATAAATGAGTAGCCTTCCCCTACCTTCTGCCGTGTTGTAGTCCCATTCGTCCTGTGGAGGTCTGGTTAGGGGGAGAGCCGCATTAATGAGGTCAGGGTTAGATGTCGGCTGACCGTAGTCTCCGGGAACCAGCTTTCTTGCTTCTAATTGGATCCTCTCTCGCTCCTCTGTAGTGAACAGGATGCAGAGGAGCTGCTGACAGTCGTCCCAGGTGGGCTGGTGGGTGAACATGACACTGTCTAAAAGAGCTATTAGGTCTTTAGGGTTATCAGAGAATCGAGCGTTCTGTGTTTTCCAGTTGTAAAGGTCACTGGTGGAAAAGGGCCAATACTGGAGTCGGGGGTTGCCTGTTTCATCTGGGGGTCCTATTTCCTGCAGGGGTAGGGCCACAGTGGAGTCGGGGAGGCGAGGGTTTGGCTCACGCTGGGTGCATCCGCAGGTTCGGACGGCTGGCCTCTCGCGGTTGGTTTCATTTTCAATGGGGCCCTGCGCGGCTGCTGCCTTCTGTCCTCCTGGTTCTGGCGCAGCTGCTGCTTCCCGTCCTCCCGGCTCCCCTAGGGGGGCAACTAGCGGGGCGACTGGTGGGGCGGCTGCTGCGGGCAAGGCCTGGGGTACGAGGGGAGGGGGATGATAGGGTGGAGGGTTTAGGGATAGTAGGTCCTCACTATTGGGCAATATGGGATACAAGGGCGCGGCTGGCGTCCTTGATTTTGGGGGATCTGCAGGCCGTATGGCAAGGACCTTACACGTTCCCGAGGATAGGAAGGGGGCCAACTAAGGGGGTGGATTTTCCATTAAATTCCGCCATACAAGAATGTAGGGAATCTGATCCGGGTGCCCCTCGTGACCCGGTAGAAAAATCTTTGACTTCACCTTAGCGATTATAGGGAGGCAAAAAGTTCCTTCGGTTGGCCATCCAACGCCGAAGGTTGGCCATTTGGAGTGGCAGAGGGTTATTAATTTTCCCCTCCGGATGTCTAGACTCAAATTCTGTCCTCTGGTTCTAACATCCCTGAAGTTAGCAACGAGGAGAGAAAGGGGAGTGCTTTGAGATAGGCCCATCTGTATCCTGGAGGTGGAGGAAAGGATTAAAAGGAGAAACAGTAAAGTTATGAGGATTTCTGGCTGGTCCAGGCCAGGTCACCTGCGAAAGAGAAGGGGTTTAACACTTAAAGGTTATAGAATAGAGAACACAACACTTAGATCGCTAGCGCATTTCGGGTGTCTGTCACCCGGACAGAAGAATTCCGATGGGCCCAAAAAAGTGCCCCAGATGGGTGCCAGTCACCTGAACAGAAGAATTCTGATGGGCCCAAAAAGGTGCCCCAGACGGGTGCCAGTGGACGTCTCCTACTGGACCCGACTGACTGCCCTATAGCGCGTCCGCCAGGGCTGTGTCAGCCCCCGATACAGATCTCGCGCGGAAGAGCCAGAAACGAACAGACAAACAGAAACGGACAGAGCCGGCTCACTTACCGATCGGTCTCAGGGACAACCCGTTGACTTGGGGTCTGGTGGGCTTGGGGGGATCCCGGACGAGCCCCCAAATGATATGCCCCAATTCGAGAGACTCCCCGAAAACAAACCACCAGAGTCAAAGCCAAGCGGCAGGGTCGTTTATTGCAGGTTCGAACCCGGTCCTCCGCGCACTCGTTG